CAAAGACTGTTCTTAATGTAGATACATACAAAGTTTCCCTATTGATTTTTCATTTATTTGGTATCTTCCCTTTTGTCGCAAGGTCCATCTAAACACTGTCAGTTGTGTGAGGTATCAGGACCCTATGGGCGGAGTCTAGAAAATGTCATGCTTTCAGCTATGGTGGTGTTTATTCTGTCATGTTCTGGCTTGGAACAAGGTACAAAAGTGGCACTTTGTGGCTGAGCTGTGAAAGACTTGCCATGGTTGGAAAGTTTCCTTCACAACTAAGAATTTCATGCTTGTTCTGAGAGAAGTAGAGTTAGGGAACATTTGTGGTAGGCCTAATCACCCCAACCAATAAAAAATGATCATGATCACCATGTTATAATAATGAGTAGGGATGCAATCACCTCAACCAATACCAAATGGTCATGATCACCATGTTACAACACTGAATAGGGATCCAATCAACTCAGCCAATAACAAATGGTCATGATCACCATGTTACAACACTGAAAAGGGATCCAATCACCCCAACCAATACAAAATGGTCATGATCACCATGTTATAACACAGAATAGGGGTGTCATGTAACAGCAAAGATGGTGCAAATCACCCCCAGTTTCTTCAGAATATTCCCAAAATATATCCTACAAACATGCTGCATGTTTCCCCTAGAAGCTCCTTCAGCTTTTTTTAAACTCTTTCTGATCAGAAACTAACTATCCTGACCATGCCAGGATACTGAACTTTCAAAACTGAGCTCATTCAACATGATTTGTACAGTAAACTGTGAGCGATGGCCCCTTTTCTCCCAGGGGTGCTGTGTTTTCCACAATGCATGTTGGAATGATTTCTCTATGCCACTTTCAAGGGTCAAGGTTTCAGCTCACTACATTTTGAACACCTTTCGTGCAACTAGGCACATCAAACATCATGGCTACCTTAGTGAAATATTGCAAGTCTTATCAATATAGCCTATAACACATTCCAGTATAACATGCATATGCATACATATCTGTGCCAAATATAAAATGGCAAGATTTGACTTACTATGACAGGAGTTAAATTCTTTTTTCATACTCAGCTCTTGGAAATCAGTGTTTATTTTGTTATAATGTTCTACAATGCATCTACTTACTGACACCATGTCAAAAACACCATCTACATATTGCATAATGCTGTGCCAAGAGTATGACTATAAGTTTTAGAGCTAACCTGCACCATAATCTTTAACTGTTGGAATACAAGTCTAATTAAAAACAAAACCAGTTTTAACCACTTTCCTAGAGAGATGCTGGAACACTGCCCAAACAACTGAGCTTGTGTCATAGTTTTGCAAAATAAGTTGGGGGAGGGAAAGAGCAGGAAGTCAGCTAAACAAAACACCAAACTGCAGCCAAAAACTTGGATATTTCTTAAGTCTGACCAGCTATTTCCTAAAAGTTATGTTGCTGGAGGTCCCTGATACCACAGAGAACTTTGCCCCTAGACTGCACAGGGACTGCAAAAAAAATGTTCACCAAGCATCCCTTGGTAGCTTAATTGTGCTAAAAATGTCAGCACACATATACTATGCACCTTGACAGCAAAGAACACACATTAAGGCGAACATGTTTGGCACAGCAGCCAGAGGAGCAATTTCAGAACATGCATGCTGTAATCTATATTCCCTCAAAATAGGCATACCACTGCTACCAGTTACAGTGCAGGGCACTAATACTTGTGTTCAAAGCCAATTGTAATCAAAATGATCTTAATACAATTCCTTAAAGCAAACTTATTTGAAAACTCAGGACAATTTGGCCAGTCTTGAGCTAACCACTGAGGGTACTGTGGGTTCGCCATGGTAACTGAGGCTTCAGGCAGCAATGTTTGACCTGAACTTGGCTCATAACCCTATTCCTTTCAGCACATGAGGGAACAATTTTAAGGACTCAGTATCCAATGGTAGTACTGAAACAGAAATATGCCCATTATAGCCCAGAGAACTATGTCAGGCAAAACTACTTACAAAGTTCAGCATAGTTTTGGCTGAACTAAGCTTCATTTCTGTAATGACATGAACATATTGTTTCAATCCACACAGATGTCACCTTAAAACAGACAACTGTCACGTAATAAACGATGGAATGAATGAAAGACTTGATGTACTGACATGCCGCCCATGCAACCCAAGCAGATGATTTGCAAGCACATCTCGAATGCTTACTTCAAGTTGCATTTCTTAGGCATCAAGGAGACTTGATCGATACCAACCAGACCTTTCTACAACAACTTTGCGACAGCCGATACATACTACAGTTTTCCTTGAGGCATCTGCACAAAGGAAACGATGAATAAAACACTAAACCTCTAGCTAACTCCTTTGCATTTCAAATCTTAACTACTCTCAGGGCCACGCCCCATCCCAACCTCCATGCCCGCACCGCCACCAGTCCCCCCGGCGATCTCAATACAGGGAGCGTGGGAAATAGCGCGAGCACCGAGACCAAAAACACTGCTGAGACTAACTCATGCTTCCGCAATGCGGAGTCGCGCAGCCTTAAAAGTGTGACAACCTCACCCAGCTCCACGCAACTAAACATAAGCACTGCAGTTTGCTTTTTCTTTAATTGTTGCCGCGGATCAAAGAGCGGGAACCTTCTTCATAATTATTACAATTTTAAGCTTCTATTTTTTAGATGTCCGGCTCGTACCCGCACTCCAGAAGGTCATGGAGGGGGGGGGGGGCAAACTCACTGTTGGGGCAGAATTTGAGATCGGGAGGGGAGCAAAGGGGACATAAAATTGATATACCACTCCAATCATTTTGAAAACTTGACGCACATGGAATTAAACGAGGTAAACTCTCGGATTGTTCCACATTTGCGTGGGGCTCCGAACTGAAATATCCATCTCGAAGATCTTTTGGTGCTGTTCGCAATCTGCAAATGCGCTTTGTAGGACCCGAGCCCCTCAAGTTTCTGAGCCATAGACCCCCGATAATGTGGATAGGTATGTCAGGCAGAGTATTTCACTTTGGCAATTATGACGTCATGATGACGCCTTGTAAAATATTGCTATTCCATAAAGCAAGCGGTGTTGAAGACCAAATCGCAGTTTTGTTGAGATGTTAATATTTAACGTTGTTGCGTGCGACTTTAGGGCGAAATAGCTGTTAACCGGCTCTCGATCAACGTTATGCAAGATGCAATGACGTAATTGAACCGTAGCATGTTGAGAAGAATATTTACTAAACAGAAAATTATGCAGTCTAGCGCAGTCTTTTCCACTTCAAAATAATATCAATAGTTATAATCTGGCTTATTTTATCTTATCCCATATCTTTTCAACATCTTCAAATGTAAAACATTCCCTTTTCATAGACTGACGTCTACATCAGCTGGCTTTTCTCTCCGCAAAGTTCGGCTTGATGAATATGCGTGCCACATTCG